ACATGCACTGAAATGCATATTTTTATTTGTAATTTAATATATTTATTTAAGTGTTCTGTAGAATTTGGGGGAGGGCTCAAGCCACCTAAAATTGAGCTTATTATATTTCAGTGGAAAGACATATGCTTAATCTCCTTCATTGAATTTGACATTAAAAAAAAAGTTTTACTTTACTTTTTTGTGCTTCTCCAAATAAATTATTATATAAATTAAATTGTTTATCTAATGTAATTTTTGGAAGAAACAGTGGGCTTAATTCTGCACCAAAGCAGTTGTATAGTAATGTAACTTGGTTGTTCTGAAACATTTTAGTCTTCTCTATATTATTTAAAATACTAGGTTTTATTTGTTTGAGGGTAAGTTAATACAGTCATCTCTATTGGATACAACAGCATTACATTTTGTTGTTGTTGTTTCTTCTTTTTACTCCAGCATAGCTTTTTTTCACATACTCAGTTGCCTTGAGATGTTTTCTCTACTATAGCTTCAAGAGCTACTCCTTTGCCAAGCTCAATTAAGATATCTTAAAGGTCTAAACATTGGGGTCAAAGTATCTCAGAGGTGCATGTCTTATAAGATATTCTGATTATACTTCTAGACCTTTCTTTGAGGACTGGCCAAGAAACTTTATTTCTTTATTATAGTAGTTTATAAAGTGACATAACTCCCAAAACAGCCTAATAGAGTAAAAGCAATGATGTTTAGTGCTTTGAATTCAAATCATAAGCGCGCTTTGGAATGTAATCACATAATATTGAGAAAATGTGGGTTCAAGTTAAGAACAGATGGACTGGGTACAGCAGTATGCTTTGGAGTGGGTCTGGTATGTGGTCTGTTTTCTTGGCAACTATTTCAGAGTGGTTTGCCACTTTCCCTGGATTTTTTTTAATGATTTTGCAATCTCGCTAAAAACTTGGTGTTCTCTGGAAGTGACCCATCCAAGCCTAACCCCCCATAGCCTCTGGGTCTAGACAAGGTGGGCTACATGCTTCTACCTGCTCAGATTAAAAGCAATATAAACAATAATAAAAATAAAAATTACAGTTGTAATACAAAACACTACTTTAATAATATGGCATTTCAAATTCTATCATCCTTTCTAGAGAACAGTTGATGGTAATGCAGGATAGAAAAAATCCCGTTGAATGGTCTACTTGTAGTTGTCACTTGTCTTCTTCTCATTGTCTTGAGAGATCTTCCCCAGAAAAACATTGATGGTAATGGTCTGGTAGAGGTGAGGTTGGGAAAGTCAGTGTGGAGCAAGCTCTTGTGATATTGATTGCCTACCTGCATTCTTTTCTCTTCAGGGACAACCTGCTACAAAGGGAAAGATCTTCTGTCCATCTTAGAGTCTGCTTGTAGAATCCTTTCCACATAGACACATATCTGGCATCTATGTTGATCTCTTTTCCGTATGAGGCTAAAACAATCCCCTTCTCCCATAGTAAATAGTAAACTTTAAGTGACTGTGTCCTGGGTTAGTGTTTTTATGAATTCTCCTTATATTCTTTTCATATTAATTATTAATGTATTTAATTGTATTTATTATTGTTAATATTTTCACAGTTTTATTTTTTTAATTTGCCACAATTTAGTTCTTGGGTAGATTATTAACTATTATTGCTTAATCTTTGCACACTCAAAATATATATACATATATTTGTGAAGAAGAGCCCAGGCAGGAAGCTACATCTGGCTCTGCTAAGTAGTTTGATTAGCATGACACTGGATATACCATGACAATAGTTCTTCCTGAGATACTGAGGTGACTACTGGGAAGTGCACCCAGATATAAGCAGCTATCCCTTCTGGCATCCTTGGGAACATGTAGAAACTCCTCAAAATGCTATCAGGGCTCAGTTGGATTGCAAGGAAATGGCTCATATCTTATACCAAAATGAACAGAATAATATATTGAACAGAGCTAAATGTCTGTAGAGATTCTCAGTCATCCAGTTAATATCACCTTTGAAAAAATACCTTTGAGACTTGAACAGAACTATTTGTACTCTGACTATTGAATTAGAACAGCACAGAAAACCAAGACAGTTGGTTCTTGGTAGTTTTTGAACATTTAAAAAAATGTTTTTGTATTGCAAAGTAGATTACTATAACTATATGAAATAAAGTAATGGCCATTTGTAAGCAAAAGGTCATCTTAAAATGGATGTCCTGGTATTGTAACAAATAATTGACATTCTGTTTAAATTGCAGTCCTATACTCTTCTGGGAATATGTTTTATTTAACTCTGTGAGATTTATGGATGAGTATACATGCATAGGATTGCACTATAAATAAAGTAGCTAAGAAATAAACATCAGTGAGCCCAGTGGATATTATTTTCAAGTAATTCCGTGTAAGATTGTATTATAGATTAGCAAGTTTATGAATTTGTTGCAGTAAAAATCTACTTATATTTTCTAACTTATGGAAAATAGTGTCAATTTAACATTTCAGGAAGACAATAACATTGCTGCCCTATGCATTAAGTTTTACATAATCAATACGTTTAGCATATTTTAATTCTGCCATCTCTTCTTAGGGAAATAACACGAGGCAGTCTGTGGACAACCAAAGTACAAACTTGATAGAAAGGAACTTGATATAGCTAAGACATTTTGTGAATTTGTTTTATCTCACTTCACTTCAAAATTTATGAAGAGGGCAACTTAGTGGTGCTTAAATTGTGTGTTCCAGGGCTTGCCCCCACTGATAACACCCTTGCTGGCGTGAAAGTGCAATGCAAATTATGACAGTTACAACCTTCTGTTTTGTTTAACCTGTCAATGAATTTCCTGACTCATTGTAGAGGGCAGTGGTGTGTTCAGCCAGTCCAAATACCCTTAAACTTAAAAGGTCAGTTTTCTACAGGCAAGCCTAGTCAGAGCCTAATTGATGAGGAGGGTAACAAGACAGAATTTACTGTTCTGTTGGCTAGTTTCATATCCTTAGGTTGTCCTGAAAGCATCAGGCAGACACAGCCTCTTTCATGTAAGTGCTGACCCTAGACAGGAGCTGACAATCAAAGGAAGCAGCCACAGGAACCAGTGCAAGTATGCTATTGATTTTTCAGTTAGGCCTAAGTAGTTTGTAGTATGGGTAATAGGGGACAAAGGCAGGTATGTCATTATCAATGAGCTCCAGAACAGTAGCAACAAGCTTCCCTCATATTTCCTTCAACACTGACAGCATACATCCAGAAGTGGTGAATAAATTGCCCAATCTTTTGCTGACAAACGATTTGGAAAGAATGGGGGCTGGGGCAGTTGGGAATGGGAACCAAAGAATTAAACTTTTTTGCTTGGACTTGATAGCGGCTTAGAAAAGAGAGAAGAAAAAAAGAAGTCAGGAAGATCTTGGTGTCAGGCCTTGGAAATTATCAGGCTGAATTCTTTCTAGAATAAATATAATGCAGGCAATGTATTTCAACATCTTTTTGTCATTTTGTGCTTTGCAGAAAATCAAATGTACAAGGGAAAGCTGTAATTTAAATTTTCAAAGGGACAATGTAGTATATGGAAGTTGTTATATTACTATGTTTTAGATATATATGGAAGTAAGATTATATTGAATATATGTATGAAGTCACTATTTTGCTAATAGCAATAAATAAATAACTTGTAAATAAATAGAGGCTAACGTATAAGCATTTCATAGAGCTATGTTTAAAACACCTGAAACGATTTTTATTAAATTAGTTTTAGTGTGCACTAAACTACAATAGTGGCACTGCTATCATATATTTTCGTTTTAAGATATAAATTGAAATTATATCATATGTCTGGAAAATATTTTTTTTTTAATAAAATGAGATTTATTGCATTTGATTGACATAATATCTCATCTTTCTAGCTGATTGAAAATACTAAACTGTTGTGCTAAACTAGCAGTGTGCTTGGCTGAATAGGATAGGCTATGGGCTATAAGAAAAGGGTAGAACCCTTCTGTGTGCTGACTTCTATCTTTGGAAACTTCCTGAACAGTTTTCAAAATCTCTTAGCCCTCCTGGGTAAACTAGTTAGGAAACCTAACTAGATGAGTTAATTCTACTTTATTATACGGGTACATTAACATAATCTTGCAAGTCTGAATACAAATTTACTAACCCTAACATCAGAACAATTAGGGATGGTTCTTGCTATGTTGCTTCCTCTTGGCCACTAATCTATTGGGGGCTTCTGTCTCTCTTATCTGATTGTTTCCTAGGAAGCGTCTGTTCCCCTTGTCCCCCAAGGTCATTCACACATTGTATTGTATCATGTTTTCCATATTTTTTCCAAATTCCAAATCATGGCCTATTCCATTCCCTCACATTTCATAAAGATTTGGGTACCATTTTCAAGGACAGTTTTTAAAGAGAAGTGGAAATAATTTCCAGTATCCCATCAGTGTTAGTCATGGACACAACACATAGTACATTTGGATTTAAATGAAAAATTTAGCATGTTTAAATTAAATACTGAAACTGAAATAATTTTATTGTTACTCATTTTATCTATATTATTGAAATATACTTGCAAGAGTAACTATTATGTATAAATGTATTACCAAAGTTGCATATGTTTATATTTAAAATAAAATACTGAAATAAATTAGATGGTGATTGTTTTGAAAAAAGGTAATTAACCCAGCATAACACTGAATTATCTCTTTGAACAGATATTTGAATATGATTTAAAATTAGAAATGGAGGATGGTTTTTACTTATCTTATTTTCACAACTGCAAATGTATTCCATTTAAATTGCATCACAGCTTTGAAATCTCATTAACTAAATTAAATAATTTTACAGTACTAAAAACAAAAAAATGTATATGTCTATATTTCTGTCCTAATTTCTGATACGGATCTTATTGTTAGGATAACCATGAAAAAAGTTGTTCTTTTTTTTAAAAAAAAACCCAACACTTTCTGTTTGTGTAAGCATCTACAATTAATCTTTAGGAAACAGTTTTAAAATAATTGTATTTGGATCAATTGAAAGAGGCATATTGTACATTTAATAGTCCTTTAATCAATGTAAAAGATGGGAAGATTTGATTGAGGCCAAACTTAAGATCTTGAGAGAACTAAAAACAGAAAACTATCTTTCTAGTTCCGGATCAGGTTCTTTTGCTGTCTTTGCAATATGCCACTGACATACTTTGTTAACGTTGCAAAAGGAGATGCAGAAAGGGAACAAATTAAATTTTCATGACGGAAAACCCTAATCAGCAGTGACAGCGTAAGAGAAAGATGATTGCCACTTGGTCATTGTAGAAAGGCACTTAGATATGGTGTCAGTGCTTCTGTTAATGATGACTAATGTCTTTCTTGGAACCAACACACATTTGAACATTGTGCTATAGCAGCCGAGGAACTGGAGTGGAGAATAGGTACCACAGATCTTCAAAACAAAGGTGTATGGATTGAATTGAATGCCCCCAGAAGTATTATCCTATAAATACAATTTTAGAAACTTGTAGGATTCTTTCTTCTGCAGAGGACAGGGTATTTCAATCAGCCAAATTAATGATCAGATTAAAAGTAAATTATAAACAAATTGACCAAAGCCTTGGCACTCCTGTGAACTATTTTTATCTCCATGTTATATTCTGTATAAACCTGTCACACTTGAAGCAGAGAATTGTCAAAATCTTTACAAATGCTGAGACTTTAGCTTTAAAATATATTGGCACAAAGAAAGGCATTGTTTCTTTAGTTTTCCCAAAGTGAGACCTTAGAGACAGGCATTTGCAATGCTTGTCATATTTTTCATGTAGTTTTTGCTAGCTTGACAAGTCTAGAGGACCATGATCATTACATTCAGACAGTACTAATTACTTTGAGATTTTTGTAGCCTTAGTAGTATTTGAAGCTGCCAATTACATTTGTTTCTGTGGCATTCTGTATTTTCATACGTTGCTGTAAGATTTCTTCAACATCCTAAAAAAGGAAAACAAATAAAAATAGAAAAGGAATCCTAAAGAGGGAAAAATTATCATTATTATGTTAATATTACTTTCCCAAAGCTTATTTATTTTGTGTGTGTGTGTATTACAATTTAGTATCATTTGTTTTCTAACCTTTCAGCATTCAGTTTTTAGTCTTCTTTCTAATATGAAGCTTTATTTTATTTTCTCTATTTCTTTTCTCTCTTACTTCTCTATCCCTATCCCTAAATGCTACGTTTGCTTAGCTTCTATTTAGTTCTCTTTTCTAAACTCACATCAAAGATCTTTAATTTGGATCAGCATTTAAATTTACAACATAAATATCTTAAGCCTGATTTGCAAAGCATTCAGCTAATACACATCTCTGTGTTCAATTTTGTTTGCAATATTATCCCCAGAATCTCTTTGTTCTGTTGCAGTTCATAGTACGCAAAGCAGCTGATTCTAACAAAAAGTTCAAATGGTGGTCACAGCATGAATGACATTAGTATTGTGGTGTGGTTGTTTTTTCTTTTTTCTTTAAGGGTGGGAGAGCTTCTGTTAAGATTATGTGCATTTCTAAAGAAGTACAGCCTGTGTTAATCACAGATTGGAAAATAAAAGCACCAATAATGTGATTTTTACATGCTGATGATGCAAAAATGGAAGCAGCTTTATCAAAGATGTATGATGAGATAAAACTGCAGTCTCTGCTGTACAGTTATAGTAATTATGACTAATGAACCGTCCAGCCTGGATGAAATGGCATGTCCATAGGGACCGTGTCCAATCAGTTGTGACTTATGCAAGCTGTAGAAAACATTGGTAGATTAGATTCAATATTATAATATGAAAGATACTATATTAACAATTTCATTTTGTTGAAGGAAAATGTTGAAGTAACACTGATAGATGGATACTTAGAAAACAAAACACATATATTGAATTGCAATTATTGTTTTAACATAATGTTCAGTAGATTATTCCCATTGAAAACTTTATTTATTTATTTATTTATTTATTTATTTATTTATTTATTTATTTATTTATTTGTTTACTACATTTATATAGCCAGTCATATTATAACAAACTCTGGACAGCTTTCTGTCAAAAATTAAAATAACATAAAAACCATATTAAAACATAAAAATTCAAAACATATTAAAAATTTATTTTTTAACTTTAGGGTCTTGTGTGCTTAACTTTTTCTTGCATTGTAAATGCAGGAAAAACAATAAGTATATCAATATCTGCTTATGTTTCAAGTACTTGGAAAAATATGTTATTTTATGTGTAAAAAAGCAAGCCTAGTAATAGAGCAAATAATAGAACAAGACGAATTTGTCCTTTGAGCTTTTGAGCTTTTCTATATAGGGAGTCCTTCATTTGAATTTTGAGTTTTTCTGTACAGATAATCCTTGCTTAACAACCATTTGTTCAGTAACCATTTGGAAGTAAAATCATGCTGAAGAAAGGGACTTACAATCTGTGCCTGGAATTATGGCTATTGCAGCTCTCCCCCCCCCACAGTCATGTGATCAAAGTTCAGGCACTTGGTAGTCTGCCCACACTTATGACTGGCCACAGGGGTGCTGCAACTACTCCTATCTGCCTATCTCCCCCTTCCCCATCTATGCTCTTAAACTTCCTGGGAAGTTCCAATGGCACAGCAAAAGCAACCCACACCCAAGGGCTGAACACCCAGTAAGCTTTCACTGTGATATGCAAAGCAATTGTTGAAGTTCCAAACACTCAGGAGACTCTAAGGATGTGCAGTACCTACCCCCTCACAAAGCCACCTTCCTTCCCTCTGGAGGCTTACGGGGTGTTTGGCCTGGGGGGGTTGCTTTGTGCCCCTCTGTGGAAGTTTCCCAGGTGTTTGGCACTGCCTAAGTGTGGCAACTTTTTGCTGTGCTGCCAGATCAGGCTAGGGCAGTTACGGCAACACTGCACTCACTCCATATTGTAGCACCCCATAACTTGTGCATGGCCTGTATCGGGGCTCCCCCTCCTCAGGCACCTCTTGCTCCACTGAAAAACCCGCACAGTTGCTTAATGATCATGCCTGGAAAGTCAAGAGTGCAGTTGTAAAGTTGAGTCAAGTCACATGGTGATGACCACAATGACTTATGATCAAAATTCTGTGCTCACTTGTAGTTGTAAGTCAAGGCCTATCTGTTGACATTTATGGTAAAGGTCTTACCAGAAAATTTAGAATGCAGAAGTATATAATTTAACTATCAAATCTATAGTTAAATTATATACTGTGATATTGTCAGGCCCAAGCCCAGAGACTACATAAAGAAATCCAATCTTTATTTGCTTACACCTAATAGGCAGAAATTTACCAGACTAAAACTATAACTTTCCAACCTATTAAATATATTCTGAGAGACTGTAGGGTTTGGCTACCTTAAATCTCTTTGTCCCTCTTCCATCCAACTTAGGATCCTGCAGTCTCTTCATTTGGGCTTCTATTTGGAATGGCTTGCTTTTATGTAAGCCCACTATTGTTTACAAGTAATGTTTTATCACTCAGTGTGCTTTAATCATCTAGTTACGTTCTATTGAACCAACCATGGTTCATGACAAGGTATGAAAGCTAACTTTCCTGATAAGGATCCACAATCTAGTGATCCACTGCAGTTTTGTAGTTTTATACATTTAAAGATTTAATTTTTGTCAACCATTTGAATTATCTCTTTTGGTTATGATTGGTGATTTCTAAAAGTGAGAAAGTTTGTTTAATCATTGATTAATGAATATATTGATTATTCATAATGAAAAGTATGGCAAGTTTAAATAGATTAGTCTTTTCTCCTCCTAGTGTCTATTCTGTCATCTCTGTGCTATGCATTCTTGTTTTCCTATAATTCTTCCATTGTTTAAGTCTCTCTATTCCATCAATTTTTCGAGTCTAATTTATGCTTTCTGAATTTTATTTCCTCTGAGTATATCTGTTTCCATTCCCTGAGTAAGGTTATCTTCTTACTACAATCTGACTTGATATGTGGGATACTTGATATATTTTAGAGAAGACATCTTAGAAACCCTCCAATCCATTAGGAAGACTTTTATATTGAGACTGTGATTGACAGTTAGGCTTTCATTGCTGTCTCATGTCTTGATTTGGGGTTGCAGAAAAACAGAAATGACCCATATGCTTATTGGTAAAGATTCAGTGTAAACAATTATTTCCTAAATTTATTTTTACTTAATTTTTAGTAAATGTCTAAAACTGTTAGCAACTTTGTGTGAATAAACATGGATATTAATAATGATGGGACATTGCATAAACAAATGTGCCCTCAGCTATTGAAATTTAAATGATAGCAATAGAGTATCAAAAATATTTTTCATTATGACTTTCAGTAGGAAGCTCAAGTTCTTCCTATAATTCATTCTGAATAATGAATTCTTAAGTTTCACACTCATTTTGGAATTAATTTTGTTTTTAGGTGCTACATTTCAAGTTGCTTGCCAGATATCTAGCATAAAACAATCTTCCAATTTCATTTCTACTTTGATCTATGAAAAGATAAGGAAAAAATGTAATAATGATGTATAGTGACAAAGGAACTAGACTTTGACAAATATAGGTAGTCCTCGCTAAATTTTTAGCATGTTTGAAGTTACGACAGACTCCCCCCCTCAAGGTACAACCTGATTGACCGCAAACTCCCCTCTTCCCCCCATGGTTACATAATTTATTTTTGGTGCATGCAACCAGCTATTTTCAGGGTTTTTGCTAGTGTTTTACTTCAGCTTCTGTCAAAACAACCACACATTGGATAAGATAGAGTCACTTAGTGATCACTGTGTTCACTTAATGACAGTGGTGTTTGCTTAGTGACCATGGCATTTGCTTAAAAACTGCTGCAAGAAAGGTTGTAAAATAGGAGATGGTGATATAGTGACTTGCTTAATGACCACAATATCTCACTATCATAATTCCAAACTCAGTTACAGTCACATGTTGTGAATAAGTCTAAGTGCTATTGCTATTAGCGGTAAGATAAACCCAGGCTTCGACCTTTTTCAAACTAAATTCTAAATATGATGCATGTCCAGCTTAGGTTAATTTCAGGTTTAAAAAATCCTGGAAATATACTAATTACACAAAGCTGTTACTGTACAGGTACTCCTTCATTTTCAATCACAATTGGACCGGAACTTCTGTTGCTAAGTGAAGTGATCATTAAGTGAATCACACCCAATTTTCTGATCTTTTTTTCCAATGGTCATTAAACGAATCATCATGATTGTTTAGTTTTTTAGTGAAGCTTGATATATAGTATGGATAATAAATACCTGAGACATGTAAGTAGGCCATAAGGAGGCTTGTTCAGGTTGTACCATCACATGTGGAATTTGCCATATCAGCAGATGCAGGTAATTCTCATCTTACAACCATAACTGGGATTGGAATTTCCATTGTAATTTCCATTGGAACCAATTTTACAGTGAATCATGTGGTTGTTAAATGAATTCAGCTTCTTCAATAGGCATCTTTTGCTGGAAATTGACAAAAAAGATTGCAAATTGTGAGCAGGTGACCTTGGGACCCTTCAACTAGTTGTAAATGCAAGTTGCCAAATGCCCAAATTGTGTTCACATGTCTGCGGACATGGTGCGGCAGTATTAAGTGCGAGTACAGGTAGCAAGATACTTTTTCTGTGATTGTTGTAACTTCATTAAATCAACAGTCATAAGCCAAGGACTACCGTGTGATCACCCTTTGTGTCTGTAATTTGTACTGTGATATCGGCCTTCTCTAAGAACAGTATGATTTCTGTAATAGAAAATGTAAGAAAATGTAATGGTTAATTTAATTATGTCCACAGTTTGGAAACTCATTTACATTTCAGATGTTGCAAATTGAGGTATCAAGTGTATTGGGACTAAGATCATCTCCATCATTAAACTTAAGTATCGCTACCATAGGGCATTTTTTTCAAAACTGATTTTTCTTCTACTGTACAAGGTTGTGGATGTAAAATTGCTGAGATATTTTTAAACTTCTATCTTTGTTTCTTACTTCTGTCAAACAATCTAGTTTAAATATCATGAATTATATGTGCTTCTGTATTTCTCTTTTGTTTTCCGCATAGTACAAATGTCATGTTGTACATAATATTGCTTTTTCAGTCTCATAGGAAACATTCTTTTTGTACTTCTATGTTTTATTGTTTGTAGGCAAAGGATTACTGTAAGGAATTCTTGCAAGATGGTGAAAAAGCAAAATAGAATAAGTAGAATAAGCAAAATTTTCTGTTTGGAGTTTTATGCCATATTAGTAGAGGTAGATCATGAAAGTGATAAATTGAATTGATATGTTGATATAAACATTTGAAAGATTTAAAAATGAGGTATTTCTATTTGTAGTTCTTCTAGAGTCATGAGAACTTCAAACTGTGCGTCTGGATATATTTAAAGTCAGTTGAACGTACATGGTTTTGTTAATGTTCCATAAATCTTACTTTCAGAAACACGGTTTACTTCAGCCTGTATATTTAAAGGGAAAATTTACTTGCTGTTGTAGTATGAAGATGAGCAAGAAAATACAAATGTAGAAGCTGAACTTTCATTTTAAACAGAAAAGTATAAAAAAGTTGTTCAAAAGTGTATTTTACTTTAGAGTGTTTGTAGTAAGCCATGTATTTTTATTTTCTCCCATTCTTGCTGCTGTATTAAAATGTTATGTATAATAAATAAAACCAAACATAAACCAACATAAACACTGAAAGTAAGTAATGTTCTGTAAGGACAAGCTAAAATTAAAACTGAATAAAACCTAAAAAACACAGCAAGCATATTATCTTAATTTTTCTATAAAATAGTTGTTTTAAAACAGGTTGCATAAATCAGCATTTGTAGCAGAATGCTCGTAGCATTCTGGAGCTGCATTTTAATGTTTTTGCCACTCCTGGAAAGCTCCAGTTCAATGATAATATATGCTTAACTTTACTGAATAAGAATAGATTGTGTAATCATATGAACTTGAATTTATCAGTGGAAAATGCTTCTGCAGTTCTTTACGAAGAAATATGCTATATTTGTGTTGGGCACAATTTAACTGCTTTAAGCAATACTGTACTTAGGTTACCTACTAAATAGTCTGTAATAGTTGTATGATTCAGATTCTTTTTTTTTTCTCTTGATGAAGTACATTTTTTTTTTAAATCAGTACCAATACACTTGGGTGCTGCATTCTTCCCTACCGTGCTTATAAGAACTCTCAAATTTTTTTTTACCCATGAGCAACCAGTACATTAATCCTTCTTACAGGAATCCACTACCTTAAGCAGACAGTGATGAGACTGTTGCTTAAGAAGCCATCTTTATACACGGCTGGTTTTAACAGTTATTGGCTGATGTCCAATATTTCATGTTAAACTAAACTCTTTAAAAAAAACCTCCTGCATCTCTGAGAACATTGTAATAAAATAAATCTTGATCCCTTTAACTTGGATTAGATATGGAGACAGTCCTGGTCACCTGATAGATAGAATATAAGCAGAAAGAATGAGAGCATGTGATCTGAATAAACCTGAATATCTCAGTGGCTTTTGATACCAGTGTCCATAGTATCTTGTTAGCAGGATTGGGGAAACTGGTAGTTAGAAGTGATTTGGGTATTGGCCAATTGTGTTTTAAACTTTGTAGTGAATTCATTTTTTTCCAGATACTATTAGAAAAGTGATATTGGGAAACTTCTGCTAAATGATCTAGTGTTTATTCTAGGGTATTCCATGGAAATCTATTGATTAATACATTTTATGGATGATTAAATGGGCCCAGAATATTCATGAACCGATCTCGTTGGACTTATGGGAGGTAATTTGGACTAGAAATGTTAAATTTACGCAGGCCCAGAATTTGAGGGAAAATTTTTATAAAATGTTTTATAGATGGCATCTGGATCCTAAAAAGCTGTCCTGTATGTACCCGAACCTTCAACCTAAATGTTGGAGATGTGGTTGCTTAGATGCAACATATTTTCATGTTTGGTGGACTTGTAAAGTTATTAAAGCCTTCTGGATTATGATTTGGTGGAACATTCAAAAGGTTTTTAAAAGGAAGATTACGTTTACTCCCCAACTGTTTCTTTTGGGAATTTTTGTGGATTTTAATGTTAAAGAAACTATTTTAATATTGAATTTAATAACAGCAGCAAGATTATTGGTGGGTCAATATTGGAAGAAGGATACTCTGCCTTCTTTAGAAGAATGGGTATTTAAGGTTTCTAATTTAGCAGAAATGGCTAAAATTTCTGCTTATTTAAAGGACCATTCACAAGAGAGATATTTTAACGTATGGAGAAGATGGATAGAATATGTTCAGAAGAAATATGGAACTACCAAGTTTCACTTATTCTATGAGTAATGATTTTGTTTATAAACTTATGATGTTAAAGTTTGAAGAGAGTTAAGGGTTTTTATGATTTTGTTCATTGTATAATTAGTAAACTTAAATAGATTATGCTTAATATGTTTGCATAATCCTGTATTTTGCTCTGGGAAGTTGGGGGGTGGGGGGAGGGGGGTGGGGGGTGGATGGGTTGAAGTTTAAGTAGTTCAGATAAAGTAGAAATAGTCTTATTGTATATAATATTAATGTTTTAATTTTGAGAGAAGAACTGCTCGGGCATTTCCCCTGGACCGCATCAAGAGGGAAAAGAAGAAGGTGAGAAGTTAAGTAGGAAGGTGGAGGTGAAGGAGGAGAGGGGGTGAGTGAAGAAAAAGAGGGAAAGAAGTAAGTTGGTTTGAGGTGGGATGCGGTTTGGGGGGAAATGGGCGGGCAAGACCGAATGTGGTGTGTATCAATTTGTTTTATTTTTTATCTGAAGTATTTGTAAGATTGTTATGTATTGTAAAATTGAAAACAAAAATTTTTACCAAAAAAAATACATTTTATGATGCTTTTGTGGAGCACCTTTTGCAGATTTGAGCTTATTTTCATTATGATTCTCTTTTCCTGAAAGCTTGTTACATATCCTTTCATAGATACATTTGATATCAGGACTAATTATGCGTTTTCCACCAGGGCCCACATTATGGAACAAGTTGTCACTGAAATCCTATCCACATTTCATATAGTTCAGAAAGGAATTAAAGAAATTAAACACATATGTACCCAGGCTTATAAAGTTTTGTTTTAGTTATGATTTAATTATTACTTATATCTCATTTTTGCCCCAACTTGTTAAGGAAGTTGATAGCATATACATTTTCCAAGCAAACAAACAAACCAATTATTTTATCATCATTGTTTCACAATATATGATTTAAAATGTTCACTATCAGCCTTTACTTATGGAGAGTAGAGGGTGAACTACCTTACTTTTGAAATACTTCTGTAAACATTTCTGAAATATAGTACATTAAAGGACTGTATCGAATAGTACAATTTTTGAAATGCAGACGTGACTATCTATGTACAGATTCCTTCCCAAAAGCACAGTACTGCTTTTCAGGAATGTATAATCAGCTCTACAGCAACAATTCAAAGATTGCATTCAATACATACATTTGGGAATGTATTTAAAACTGAATGCATAAAGAGGATGTGAAACATAGTAATGGTACTACCTTTGTTACAAAGAGAAATAGTATAGTTATAAAATCGAAGCATGTCCCAGTAATGAAAGTTCTTATCCCTTACATCATAGCCTGTTCTATTGCAGAATTTGGTGTATTATACTTGGTATTTAGAGGCAAATAATAAATACTAGCAAAACTATCCTGAGTGGCTATCTGTTCAGTAAGCATGAGAGAGTTTTATGAACCAGTCTATATACTTGAATCATTGATTTCCTGTACAGGCCAGAATCATATATCGTGTCCTGCAGGATGGTTAGAATATGATACTGAACAATCTGAGACCAATACAAAAATTTAGAACAACTTAGATGTTTTAAAGCAATTATTAATAGTATTCTTTAGTGATATATGTACACTTTCACTTATATAATAGAAACAAGAAGGTCCAAATCATTAATATATATTATCTACTTCTTTATAAAATTATTGACTGGCACAGAAACATCCATGATGATTGGTGAAGGAAACATATATGAAAAAACCTGTTGTAGATCGCTACAGATTAGGGCAGAGAATAGCAAACCATAATAAGGAAAGGAAATTTCTAAAAAATGTTGATATATTTTGGAAAGCCTACTGTGAGCCTATTCCAGTCATGCTGAGTTTTGCAAATAGAATTATAGCAATACTTCTGGCTGTATACTATCTTCTAAATATCTCATACCACAGAATGCTGGCAAAGGTGAACTTATCTGGTGAGAGAATAGGGAGTGTTGTTCTTTCTGGTGGTAAGTACGATCTTGCTTCAATAGAGTTAAGAATAATCCAATGAAATGAATGGACTAGGAAAGATGGAGATAAGATTTTTTTTCAAAGAGCAAAGGAAAGACATTATAGTGCTGACATCTCAAAGTAAGTAGAGTTTGGGGAAGCCTGCAAAGAGTCAGTTGTCTAAACATAGATATACATGGA